CTGGGGTCTGCTCTGCCCCCCCCCCCATGCCACACACACCACGAGCTCTCACCAGTTTGCAGCAGGGATTCTACCAAAGCTCAGACCCCCACAAGTGCCCTGGCCGCCGAAGGCCCCGCTGTCCCTTCCTCCGGAAGGTCGTGCCCCCGGGCCCCGCACAGGAGCCCCTGCGTGTCTGTGTCCCTGGGACCAGCTCGCCGCCGGCCCCCAGCCCCCCCGCGGCCCGAGCTCCGGCCGTGCGTGTGCGGGACTGTCCCGTGACCAGCGACTGGCTTCACCGCGTTTGCAGCTCTGCCTCCCTGCCTGCCGGGCGCTGTCAGACTGCCCGGGGCGGGCGGGGGTGCCCATCCCCAGCCAGCCTCTGACCGGCCTCTGTTCTTGGCCCCCACGCGCCAGGCTCTGCCGAGATGCTGGTCTGTTACTTCACCAACTGGGCCCAGTACAGGCAGGGGGCCGCCCGCTTCCTGCCCGGGGACGTGGACCCCGCCCTGTGCACCCACCTCGTCTACGCCTTCGCGGGCATGACGGGGCATCAGCTCAGCCCCCTCGAGTGGAATGACGAGAAAATCTACGGGGAGTTCACGGGCCTGAAGCAGAGGTGAGCTGCTGGGGGCGTGGAGAAGGGGGGCGTGGGGTGGAGAAGGGGGGCCCTCCTTGCCGAGCCCAGACCTCCCCCAGCTCTGCAGCCTGGCCACGCACCTGCTGTGTGGCTTTGGACCAGTCGCTCTGCCTCTCTGGGCCTCCCCAGGCTTATGTGGCAGAGGCGGGTAGGCAGGCACCCCAGGGCCCTCCCGTTCGGTCCGGGGGGATCCGGACTGAGACACGGGTTCCTTCTGCTGGGAACGAACGAATGTCCTTCCCCCTAAAATCTCTCCATCGGCAGCTCAGGAGTCTCACCACCTTGGCCGAGCCCCTCCGGGGGCCTGTCCGACGCCCTCGCTTCCTGAGCTGTGTGTGTCCCTTGGGTGGCTAGCGGGTCCCCGGGCGGCTAGCAGGTCCCCGGGCGGGCGCGTCTCCTCTGTCCCAGCCTAGAGCTTCCCTGGCAGGGGCCCTGTGCACAGGGCCTCACCCTCCCGCCCCGCTGCCAGGGCGCCCACCAGCCCAGCCTTCCCAGCCTGGGAGGGGAGCCCTGGAGCCCTGGGTCAGCCCTGCTCCCCCCACCCCGGTTCTCTCCAGGAACCCCAAGCTGAAGACGCTGCTGGCTGTCGGGGGCTGGAACTTCGGCACCCAGAAGTGAGTTGGCTGTGAGCACCATGTATGGGGACCCAGCTCTCTGGGGTGTGGCCAGGGCAGGGGGTGCAGACTGACCTTCCCTCTGGGCCGCTGGGGCCCTATAAGGTGGGCACGGCGGTCGGCTTGGCTCCAAGCTGTCGTACATCCAGTCTTGCCAGCAACACGCAGGTCGGACCTTTCGGGCCTCAGTATCTCCCTCAGTGAAATGGGCGGCTCCTGTTTGTGAGCCCGGGGCTGGGTGACTCGGCTCCAGAGTCGACGCGCCCCCGGCAATGTCCATGTTCAGGGGCAGGACCCAGGGCTAGGTTGTCCCCTCTTGGCCAGGCCTGTAACTCATGGGCAAACGTCCCAGTGGCCTCGGCAGCTGTCCCCCGCCCCCCAGCACCCTCCCGGCCGAGGCAGATCCCCAGCAATACTCCCAGCGGTTCCCTGCTGGCCGCTGCGGAGCGAGTGGCCCACACTGCCCACACTCCCCACAGGTTCACGGACATGGTGGCCACGGCCCAGACCCGCCAGACCTTCATCAGCTCGGCCATCGCGTATCTGCGCAAATACGGCTTCGACGGCCTGGACCTTGACTGGGAGTACCCGGGGAGCCGGGGGAGCCCCCCCTCAGACAAGCAGCGCTTCACCGCCCTGGTGCAGGTCTGGCCGGGTGCTGCTCTGCCCCCGGGGCGGCTGCCGCCTGCATTTGCTCAGCCTGTGGGCAGCTTTCAGGCTCCCGAGGGGGAACCTTGCTCGGGGCTCCCCGGCCAGCCAGGCCCTTGCCTCGCGCTCACCCTGCGCTGTCCCTGCAGGAGCTGGCCGAGGCCTTCCAGCAGGAAGCCCGGGCCTCGGGGAGGGCGCGCCTGCTCCTGAGTGCGGCCGTCCCTGCCGGGCGACAGTCCGTGGACGCAGGGTACGAGGTGGACAAAATCGCCCGGTGAGTCTCAGGCGCGTGGTGTGGGCCCCGTGGTCTCGGGCAGGTGGCGTGGTCCTGTGGTCTTGGGCACGTGGCACGGTCCCCGTGGTCTCGGGTGGGTGGCGTGGGCCCTGTGGTCTCGGCCGGGTGGTGTGGGCCCTGTTGTCTTGGGTGGGTGGCATGGGCCCTGTGGTCTCGGGCAGGTGGCGTGGTCCCTGTGGTCTCGGGAGGGTGGCGTGGGCCCTGTGGTCTCGGGAGGGTGGCATGGGCCCTGTGGTCTTGGGCAGGTGGGGTCAAGGGCAGGCTGAGCTCGGGCACATCCAGGGATGCTCATGGCGCCTGCTACCCACCCTCCAGAATCCCGCTTTTGCTCTCTGCCTTGTGAAATACTGGGGGGCGCGGGGGTGACGCCCCTTCCATCCCTAAAGGACTTGGTCCTGAGGGTGCACAGAGGGCCGGGAGGGAGGGGGGGTTGCTAAAGCCGTGAGCGGCCAACCTCGCTGTTTGAGAAGAGCCTCAGGGCAGGCGCGGGCACACAGGGCCTCATCCCGGGGGCCCCTCCGGGTGCCACAGCGAGTGGGGAGAGGGAGGAGGGGCCCCACCCACTCGCGGGCCTCTCACCCTTTTCCACGCCTCTGCCTCCTGCAGGAGCCTGGATTTCATCAGCCTCATGGCCTATGACCTGCACGGCTCCTGGGAGGGGACCACGGGGCACAACAGCCCCCTGTACCCGCGGCAGGGGGAGAGCGGGGCAGCCGCCGAGCTCAACGTGGTGAGTGGCCGGAGCGAGGCAGGGCCGGCTCGCCCAGCAGGACGCAGGGTGCCCGTGTGTTGGGTCAGTTTCCTGGGGTGCCCGCCGCGGCTCAGGGGGGGCCTGACTCCTGTGCAGCATCCCGGCTGGTATGAGATGCAGCAAACCCATGTGCGGGGCTCAGGCGGCCGGCGACGAGCGGGGAGGGTCCTGAGCTCGAGATTCCAGAATGACTCCCGCTTCCTTCACGCACACGCACGCTCACACTCACGCACACGCACGCCCACGCTGACACAGGCACACTGGGCTGGGAGGCAGGGGCTGGGCCCCCGGATCCGCGCGGTGAGGGAGGGTCCCCCCCCACGAGAGCCCTTCCGTGCTCCATCCTGTGCTCCTGGGGCTGCGTCTGGCCGGAGAGGCGACTTTTCCAACTGTGCACAGAAGTGACATAGAACTTAACAGGGGCCCTGAGCCAGGCCCTCAGAAAGCGCCAGTCTGATGAAAGATGAACCGTGAGGAGCAAAAGGAAAGAAACATGAGTCAAGGAGCAGGAGCTGCCTTGCCCCGGCCCCCGCCTCGCGCTGCCTTAGGGCCCCACTGCTCTGCGTCCTCGGACTCTCACGGTGCCCTTGGAGGTTCGGGTGGTGTTTCCATTTCACAGACAGGAAGCCTGAGGCTGGCGGGGTTAGCAGGTTGCTGGGCGAGGTCTCGGGCCGCGTTGCACCTGGGACAGCGCCCGGCCACGCCCGTCAGTGATTATTCGCTCAGCGAGTCCAGGCCCCCGGCGGAGCCGCGTCTCCGGACCGGCAGGGTCAGAGGGCCGAGCACGGCCACGGAGCCGCTGCAGAGCCCCGGCCTCGGCTGACAACGTGCCCTGCCGCCCCTCGCCCCTGCAGGACCACGCGGTGCAGCAGTGGCTGCAGAAGGGGACCCCCGCCAGCAAGCTGATCCTTGGCATGCCCGCCTATGGACGGTCCTTCACCCTGGCCTCCACGTCTGACACCGGGGTGGGCGCCCCAGCCTCGGGGCCGGGATCCCCTGGCCCCTACACCAAAGAGGCGGGGCTGCTGGCTTACTACGAGGTGGGACACCCACGTTCCGAGCCCTGAGCTGTTCTGGCCCGTGCACCCATCCCACGGGGGCCGTTGCCGGTGTATCCCCGAGTCCGGCTGCCTGGCGGGCCCCAGGGTTCAGGGTCACTCGATCTGGGACGTCCCAGGCTCTCCAGGCTCCTCGGACAGGAACTTTCCTATCTCCAGTCTGTCCTTGGCAGGAAGGTGCTGTCCCTCATGGTGCCCCCCCCGGTGTCCCCTCTTTGTTCCCCCCACGCCCCCCATCTGCCCTCTGTCCCCACAGGTCTGCGGCTGGAAGGGGGCTGCCAAGCACAGAATCCAGGACCAGAAGGTGCCCTACGCCTCCCAGGGCACCCAGTGGGTGGGCTTCGACGACGTGGAGAGCTTCAGAACCAAGGTGAGGCCCGGCCCCGCGGGAGGGGCGCCCTGGGGGGGGCGGGGGCTCGGGAACACGGGACGACAGCGCCCGGAGCCCCTCCCAGGAGGAGTCTTTCAAAAGTGTCCCCGCACCTCACCGATCAGGGGCAGACGCTTGTACCTTTACCTCCTGTTGACTAAGAGACAGAAAACTCGCCCCACACTGAGCAGCAGCCCAGACAGAGCCGGTGTTGATTAAATACAAGCAGAGTCCACACCGCAGGGGGTGACGCCTGCAGGACGCGGGCCTCTCGCTCCGCCCCCGGGGCAGAGTGTTGGGCACGTGCTCAGGGGTCAGGCCTTTGATCTCCTCACACCCCCCGCTGCTGCTCAGCAGCGGCGGCTGAACTCACGCCGTCCCCCTGCATGTCCCCCATCTGTCCCCCTGCATGTCCCCCATCTGTCCCCCTGCACGTCCCCCTCCGTTACCACGCAGCAGACGTGGCAGGTCCTTGCGGAGGAGCCGATGGAGCGCTCTGGGGACTGAGGAAGGAGCGTGATCCCAGCCGGGGGGGGTCCTGGTGGAAGGTGCCTGAGAGTCTAAGAGCAGGGGAGCTGGGTGCTCTGGGGAGAGCCCCGCAGGAGCCACGAGGTGGCAGAGAGGAGGGAGATGGCGCCCGCAGAGCTGAGCCCTGGGGGCAGCAGGCGTGGGGGGAGGCAGCTGCAGAGGGAGACTGGGGCCAGCACGGGGCCGCCCGGCCCACCCTCCACCACCAGCCTGACTCCAGCGGGGGCCCTGGCGCCCCGGCCAGGCTGGGAGACAGGGAGAAGCCCACCCGAGGCAGCACCAGCCAGGCCGTGAGGAAGGCCGTGGGGACAGAGACCTGGAGGCCGGGGGCCGGCTCAGGGCTGTGGGGGAGCCCAGTGATTCCCGTGGTCACTCAGCTCAAGGCCAGCAGGCAGCGGTGCCCGGGACACGGCCCCGCAGCACAGCACAGGCCCGGATGCCAGCTCCCAGCCTAAGGAGGCCCCTCGGCATCCGCTCCTCACCCGACCCCAGACCATGCCTGGGTCGGGGCAGGGACGCTCCAGGGTGACTCACGCCGGACCTGACGGGGATCGGGGACCGGGGACCGGGGACCGGGGATTGGGGACCGGGGACCGGGGACCGGGGATCGGGGGTCGGGACTCAGCTGCCTAGGCCCCCAGCCCAGGTCTGCGTCCGGAGCCTCCACTACGCATGGCCTGGGGGCGCTGGACACAAAAAGAGCCCCGGGCAGGGTAGGGAGCTGGGCCCTGCGGCTGCCTGGCCGGGCCTCCCGGGCTCCTCCACCCCGTCCGCTCCTCGCAGGTCAGCTACCTGAAGCAGAAGGGACTGGGCGGTGCCATGGTCTGGGCGCTGGACATGGACGACTTCACGGGCTCCTTCTGTGGCCAGGGCCGGTACCCCCTCATCAAGACCCTGCAGGTGGAGCTGGGTGAGTTGGGGAACGGGGGGGGNCTCAGGGACAGGGTGTGAGCCGCCTCCCTGAACGGCAGGTCCCGGCTCCTCCGGAGGAAATGGCTTCACCCCAACGCTACGATTTCCCAAATCTCATGCCCCCGCCGGGCCGAGGGCATTGCTGAAATGATTTTCCTCTCGCTCCTCTTCCTCTTTCCGACTGTGGCAATGCCCCCCGGCGTTGGTAGCCGGGCTTCCCGCCGGCCCCGGGCCTGGGAGGGGCAGCCTGCTGCTGTCTGATCCCCTCCTGCCATGTGGGGCCCCCGCGGGCCCTCGGCCGGGTACGGCTGGGCTTGCAGATGGTAGACGGCCACCGATGCCCGTCACAGCCACAGCTCCGGTGGCCTCCGTTGAGCTGCGGCCCCCTCGTGGCTGTCGTCCGGCCGTCTCTGCTTGTCGGGTGTGGGGCGTGGGGCTGCGGCCTGCCTACGGTTGCTGACCGTGTGCGTGGCCTGTGGGTTTGGGGTCTCGGGGGAGCCTTAGCTGAATGTTGACTGTTTTCCCAGGTCTTCCAAACAGGCCTTTAGAACCCTCCCAGCCTGAGGTCATCATACCAGAGACGCCCTCTAAGCCCGAGCGTGACCCCAGCCCCGGACAGGACACCTTCTGCCAGGGCAAAGCCGACGGACTCTACGCCCACCCTGGGGACCGGTCCAGCTTCTACAGCTGTGCAGGGGGCCGGCTGTTCCAGCAGAGCTGCCCCCAGGGCCTGGTGTTCAGCCCCGCCTGCAAGTGCTGCACCTGGAGCTGAGTCCCCAGGGTCCTCTGGCCCCAGCCCCGGGGCCAGAGCCTGGGGTCCCTTCGCAGCCCCCCTCCCCAGCTCTCCCGGGGTGACGTCTGGCTCCTCCAGCCTCTGTCTGATCTTTCTCTGATCTTCCCATAGCCAGTCTTTCTGCTCTCAGCCCTCGGTTCCTTTGTCTCCGCTCCTCTCCAGCTGCCTCTTTTACATGCAGAATAAATCTTCGGTTTGCACCCCACTGGGTCTGGATGCTGTGACTCACAGAGGCTCTCTAAGCCCGCTGTCCGTTCAAAACGTGCCCTGGGAAGGGTAGGGGGCCAACCAAGGGGTGGGGGTTGCATAGGACGTGCGTAGGTAAGAGTTGGGCAAGGAGGTGGTTGATTCAGGGTGTGCCAAGCCTGTGCCAGGGAGCCTGGCAGGCCTCCGCATTCCAGCGAGCTGCTTCCAGGGCAGATGACCACGGATCTGGGGCACGGCCCTGGGTCCAGCCCGGTGCTCCCCCGCCGGAGCTTTCCCTGACCCCCCTCAGGCGCTATCCCCAAGATGCACAGAAGGGGCAGCAGAGAGGAGCCTTTTGGGGTAACCCACTGAAGTTGTTATTCCCCAAAATGCCCAGGAGGGTGCAGTACAGGAGCATCCGCCGCCCTGAGGACTCGCCCCCTGGGCATTATAACCGGAACCCAGGCCCGGCCGTGGGCTCACTTTGAAATAATTGCTGCTGCCCAGCCAGGGTGGCTCAGCGACTGAGCATCGACCTAGGATCCAGGCGATCAGGGTTCGATTCCCGGTCAGAGCACATGCCCGGGTTGTGGGCTCGATCGATGACTCTCATCGTTGATGTTTCTGTCTCTCTCGCTCCCTCTCCTTTCCGCTCTTTGAAACAAATAAAGATATATTTAAAAAAAAGAAAAAAAAGAAGTAATTGCTGCTTTGAGCCCCACCATCCCTCTGCGAGCTGCCGGGGAGAGCAAATCGGGGGGCCGTGTCCTTCAAAAGGGCCTTTGCTGGCTCAGAGGCCTTTTCTGATCAGGCGCACCACCCTGAAAAGGCGCATTACTGAACTAGGCCCTCACCATAACCGAACTTCAGCCCAGTTCCACCATCTCGACGTCATGGGTGGGCGTGTGGCCAGAGGCGAACACGCTCTCCCGGCTCTGTTTCTACAGCCAGTCACGTCTCTAATTCCCCGGGACCGGGGGCGGTTTGGTTCGTCCGCTGATAGGTGGTAGCATTTTCTAATTTGTGCAAAGTCACAGCTGGCTGTGGGTCATCATAAAAGAAGTCCTCGGCCTAGAAGGGCAGAGGTTCCCCAAACAGAGCGAGACTGAGGGGATCGCCTGAGAAACACAGGGAGGGTCCCGGGAAGGAAACACATCAGCACTTTCATCTCCCCCGGCCCGGCCCGCAGGTCACAGCTCCGTCACCCGTGAAAGATGATGCCCTTTCCTTGGGTCTGTGTGCTCCGGGGACAGGGCCTGGGGAGGCCGGAGGCAGGTTTGCCAGGATGTCCCTTCCTTCCTCAGGCAGCGTCTGCATTTGGGGAACGTCGGGGAGCTTGCACAATTCCCCCAGTCGCGGAATCTATTGTCGCGAAGCTGTTCACGTCGCTGACTTCACCTGAAACCGTAATTCGCGTTTTCTCTTTTTCTTCCTGATTCGTCTGGTTCAGGTTTGATGACGGTTATTGATCTTTCCCGATAAACGATATTTGGTTTCGTTAAGCTCGCCTAGCGTGTGTTTGTCTTTCACGAATTCCCGTCTTTGTTAAATTCTTTCATCTACGTGCCTTGGACCTAGTTTGCTGTTTTTCTAGCTTAAGGTCGAGGTTTGGGTCACTGGGTTTGTGCTTTTCTTGGCGTCTAATAGGAGCACTTAGCACTTTCGGGCCGTTCATGGGCTGTGTTCACATCTCGCTCGGTTCCTCTGACCCACAGGCTCTTCAGAAGGAGGCAGCTCTATTCCCAGCCCTCTGCCGACGGTCGGCAAACACTTTGTGCCTGTCCAAGTTAATTATTTTGTATGAAAGGACGCACACTCCACATTTCAATTCTTTGGCATTGGGACATTTTTACTGTCTAGAATGGAGGCCAGAGTCAGGACCAGATTTAAATTTCCTAACTGGTAGCCCGACGCTCGGTTTCTGAAGCCTGGGGCGCCAGGGTGGGCGACACCCAGGGCAGCAGGGCTGGCCCACTGGGCTCTTTTGCCCGTCTTGAGGTTCAAGCCCCCCTGCTCGTCGCTGGCTCCCCAGAGCGGATGCCGCCCGACACCCCTCCGCCTCATTCCCACCCGTCTCACCGAGACTCGCTTCCTAATGAACACAGTCGTTCTGCGACCTCATCGCCAGCAAAGCCCAGTCGGGTTTTCAGGTCCCTCAGGGGCCAAGGACCAGCCGAGCGCACACGTTAGGGTCGTGTGTGTTACGCAAAGTGCTGAGGCCCCAGAAACCCCGGCGTGTTGTCCTTGGGTTCCAAAGAAATCACCGGAGGACTGGCTGGGAAAGGCGCGGGTTTATCACGACCTCCGTGAGCACCCGTGGCGCCGGCCCGCGACGTTACCACCACCGGCTGCGCCGGTGAAGCTGCGCCGTTAAGACCCATCAGCCTCTGACCGGCCGCGCCCGGGAGGCCGCCGCCGCTGTTTCCCCGCTGCCCAGACTGGCCAAACACCGGGTTCACGGAGAGCGCGGAAAACAGGGCCCAGGGCCCGCGGCGGTCCCCTCACCGCTGCGCCACGTCAAAGCTGCTCGCTGGTTCGACTGAGGGGCTGGCCGGCCCGAGGCCTCACAGGCCACCTACCGACAGCTTTCCCGTCTCCCCACGGGTGGCGGGCTGGAGCTTGGGAGGGCCCGTGGTCCCAGGGGCCATGCGCGTACGTTGAGGCAAATCATGAGCCAAAGGTCGATTACCGGGACTGACGTCTTGGTCTCAATAAAATGAAGATCCTCCTAATAATACGCTGTCTGCGCCGAGCGCTGGGCGCGGGGGGCACCGCTGGGCAGCCGGCTCCCGACCTGGCAGCGGCTCCCACACGGGCTCGGGGCCGCCTGCCAGGGGCAGGCTGGGCAGGGGCCTCCTTGGATTCGAAAGCTCTGCTTCCGAGGCCCCCAGATTTGAGGGAGACCTATTTTTTGCGCCTGCCTCTCGCGACAGTCCCTGCCTGGCTCCATAGTGAGTTTTCCTGTCACGGAAACGGGGGTGCCGGCCGTGGTGGCGGGCGCACATCACCGTGGTGGCTGCCCGTTGCGATAGCAGGGCACGTGTCCTGATGGCGGCCACCTGTCACACTAGCGGTCGCGCAGGACAGGGACAGCCCGTCATGACAGGGCACGTGCCGCGATAGTCCGCCGTCAGGAGAGCGCGTCTGCCGCAATAGCTGGGGCGCGGCGCTGGTGGGCGCGCATCACAATAGCCGCCGCACGTCGCGATGGCACTGGCCTGTCGCGATAGAGGCCACATGTCGCAATATTGTGGCTCTGTCGCGATAGCGGCCCGCCTATCGCGATACTGACCGCATGCCGCGATAGTGGTCTGCCTATCGCGATAGTGACCTGCCTATTTTTGCGACACTGCGCGCTGCGTCCCGATAGTGGGCTTGTGTCGCGACAGCGACCCCATCGCGATGCTGTGCGTGGTGTCACGATGGCGGCCTGTATCGCGACGGTGCCCCCGTATGTCACGATAGCGGCCCGTATCGCAATAGGGGCACATGTCGCAATGGTGTGCCCATGTCCCGATGGCGGGCGCCTGTGACGGCGGGTGTGTCGTGGCAGGGGCTCTGCCGCGATGGTGGGCGCCCGCGGTGCTGGTGCCCGGCAGCAGCTGCCTCCTGGGTGGGGCCCGGCGGGAACCCTCCCCTGCGACCGGCCGGGCGTCTCCCCTGGGGCTCCGGTCCCTTCGCCTGGGCCCGTCCGACTGGAAACGCTTCCCTCAGCCGAAGCTCCGCGGCGCGGCCTCGCGGGCCCTCTGCGGGCAGGTCCCCGCTCAG